TATAGTATATATATATATATATATATATATATATATATATATATATATATATATATATATATATATATATAATATGCAACAAGTTCGTATAATATTCCAGACAAAATATACAGTATTTTATTACAGGTTTGATTTTAAAAAAATGTAATTTTATGTGTATGTATATATATATATATATATATATATATATATATGCATAAACAAAATATATATTAGAAACATTAAGTAGACATGTAATTCACATATAAAATACTTTGTCTCTGCTTTGATTTTGTGAATTTCAAAGTGTATACATTTCAATGATTCAAATATCTTTGAAATATATTAATATATGACATATAGGATGTCAAATATATTTAATATGTATACAAAACACTTCCACCTTCTGAAATAAATCACACAATCTTCCGTGTTATTCATTTGCATTTTTTTTCTTCTTTGATATTTCAATAGGCATTCGTGGCTGCACTAAACCAAGTAACTAAATAGCACAGTGTTAAAGTAGATTCAAATCAAATACTGTTGTCTTGAATACATGTTAATATCATATACACTGTCTTGAGTACGAAGATCCCTGATAAAGCTGAATGTATGTGTATGCGTTTGTGATACAAACGGTAGGCTATATGATTTCTTGTTCATTGTTCTTTGTTTTTTCTTTGTTTAAAGTAAAAATGCTGCTGAAAAACAAACGTGCAAACGGGAAATTAAACAACAGGAACAAAACAGCGTGAACTGTTATTCTAAAAACTGCAATAGAGAAAGATAGGCATCTTGACATTTGACACCAGGGTTCAGCAATCCTTTATTTGACTACAGTAGACTTGTATATAGCCTCTATGAATGGCAGTTCCGTAAACAGAGATCAAGTTATGCACGACAGCTTCAAGCCACATGTCCACGTGACTGTGCATTCATAAGCACAATGAATGAAGCCGTGCAAGTTTATCAGTTAGCCTAGATCTCAAGAGATATAATCAGCCGTGCTACTCTACTGTAAAGTTAATTATCAGGTCTAGTCTAGAAAATGCATGTTTAAATGGCAGTGACATTCTTGAGAAACATGCTTTCAAATTCCTGTCAACATTTTGAAGAGGGCCCAAAGTGATGCTCATAAAAAAAATACAAATTTGAAAAATAAATAAAAGGAATTATTAGCTTGCACGAAAAACTCAGACCTGAACATTCTTGAGATGACTTACAAGTTCCAACATATAGTCGAAAACCTTTCCAAAATCCAATACGCTGTTAAGAAGGAGCATTTCCCTATTAATACTGATGGTTTTGAAATTTTTCAATAAAATATGGGTGTGGGCTTCAGGTGTCCACATACTTTTGGCCATATGTGCCGAAATATGCAGACTTGGCATTTTGACGAGTCAGAGTAGGAAAAAAAATAAAATAAATGCAAGCCTTATACAACACAAAGCAAACAGAAAACCAAGTCTGTAAATATCTGATGTCCAAAAAAGTCCCTGTATTATTATTATTATTATTATTATTATTACCAATGAATAGATTACAGAATCATGGCTGCTCCGTTTTTGATAGATACATCTATATTATTTTTATTTATTTATTTATTTTTAAATTATTTTATTTTGCAGTCCATTTTTATTAATCTGATTCATCTTTTTTAATTCATATATTTATTCATATAGTTAAAATTAAACTTACCGATCACCATGAGTGATGTTGAGTGGTGAGCTAATTGTGATTTATACAAACTAAGCAAAACTATAGAAACAAAAATTATACATTATAAAACTTTATATATTATTACAATTTAAAATAACAGTTTTCTATTTGAACATATGATAAACTGTCATTTATTTCTGTGATGCGCAGCTGGATTTCCAGCATCATTACTCTAGTCTTCAGTGTCACATGATCTTCAGAAATCATTCTAATATGCTGATCTGCTGCTCAAGAAACATTTATATCATTATCAAATATTGTGCTACTTCATTTTTTGTTTTTTTTGTGGAAACCATGACACAATTCATTTTATATGACTTCATGAGAACAGCATTTATTTGAAACTGAAATCTTTTGTAATGTTTAATGTCTTTACTGTCACTTTTGATCTATTTAATGCACCCTTGCTGATTTAAAGTAGGCTATTATTTATTTAAAAACATCTTACTGATCCTAAACTTTTGAACCGCACTATATCTTTTATTTATCAGATAGCTTATTTCACATCGTTAATTTTAATGACTGTGTGAAGCATGCAGACTTTTGAAGCTAAAACAGTCAGCAAGAAAGATCTGGATGGATCTTGTGTTGAAAGAGAAAAAAAACAGCGGTTCAAAGGCTTTGATACCCAGCTGTGATCACCGACTGTTTATTAGTGAGAGCAAATGAAGAGAGCTGGGGCCCGTTCTTCGTACCTCGCTTAATACATCTGAGATGATTTGAAAGATGCCAGATCTTCTAATCGTGATAACTGATCTCTGGCTAATTTGGTTCTTCAAACGAATTTGCGGATTTGATTCAAATATCTGGATTAAGTTGTCTGAGATTACTGCGCATTCTCAGGTTTCCCGTAAAGGGCAGATGTATCGATACTGGAAACCACGATCAGCAATGCAACGATTGGCTGCGGCAAGACAGCAACCTAATGACTTCATATAATTAACCCTCTGGTGCTCCTCATTTGGGAGTCACACTTGTGATCTTCACGGTCAAAAGTGACCGGACACCTGAAATGTAACGTTTTCAAATCAGTAAAATCAATGTAATATATTTTTGTTCAATAATATTTTTTATTTTGTATTTTGAGATAATTTCATGGCACTAATTAATATTTATGCAATAATTATGATTCTGCCCATTGAAAATAATACACATTTTTAAATATATATATTTTTTTATATTACTTTTCAATGAATGCAGTATTTCATGTTAAAATAGAGTCAATGCCTTTAAAATCCCATTTTTGAAGCCAGATTAGTGCCATCTGGTGGGATTAAAATTAAAAAAACATCTGCAATTCCGTGGTTTAGCCCATAGATTCATATATAGCTCTATATAAAAGGCCTATAAATTCTCTAATTGTTTTTAGACAAACACTTATTTTTAAGTTGTGGGTTTGGATATATATTTAGACATTCTCAAAGACAACTTTTTGTAAAGGTTTAGGTTTTTTGACATGTTGATTTGAAGCGTCAGTTTTTGAATTATTATTGGTCAAACCTAAACACAGAGAAAGCATTTTGTTACACAAAACATTAAAATTCTATACAAATGTAACAAAAATGAAGAGAAATTTTTTATCAGAGCTTAATCCTTCTGGGTTTGATCTGATTTCAACCTCTTATTTCAGTTTTCTGACTCGTTTTGGCTATATGTTAACAGCCATACCAATTCATTTGAGTGTGTATAATTATGTATGTTTGTGTGTGTCTGCGAGTGTGTGTAAGTGAGTGTGTGTTTGAGAGAGTGTGTCTGTTTTGCACTCTTGATGTTTTAGAGTGTAACCCCTTCCTTGCTGTCCACTTTTTTACTGCATTGTTGAATTATTGCATGTATTTTACATATCTGCTGTGTTACAGTCACACCAGTTCATAGTGTGTGTGTGTACGCGCGTGTGTGTGTGTGTGAGTGTGTGTGTTGGTTTTGCACTCTTGATGTTTCAGAGTTTCGCCCTGTCATTGCCGTGTGCTTTTTTTCTGCATTGTGTCAGATTTGTAGATTGTACACACAAAAATTCTCAGAATACAACCACTAAGTCTGCTCGAATCATGCCCTCAATTTTTATTTGTGTGCTCGCATTTCCAAATGCTATAAAAGTCACCAAGTTTCGCACCATTCCGATGAAGCTGTGATTTAAAAAAATTCAAAACAGAAACTTTTTCAGTCAAAAGTGACCGAAGAGCACCAGAGGGTTAAAAAAAGACACCTGACGGAAAAAAAAAACTTGACACATTTCTGGACATTTATAAGGAAACAGCCAAGTGAACAAAACTACATAAATGTTATAACAGTTAAATGAAATGTGCACCGTTTTCATCTATTTTTTTTTTTACATGATTGACGATTTCTAATATTTGTACAGCTTTACATTTTTATTTCAATGTTGTAATTAGCCATTCATGTAATTTTTATCTTCAAAGCAGATTTGTTATGTGACAGCATTAAGTAACGTTTCTTAAGGGTCAAGATCATGTTATCTGCGTCTGCGCTCCTTCAAGCCACTCCCACAATATCTGTCATCACTCAAATTAATGCACGACTCTATATTAACTGTACAGCATGTGTGTAAGACTCGAATACAATTATAGTTATTATTTTATCACAAATAAATATTTCAATGAGTAAAACTGGCTGTCTATAGTATTATAGATTACACAACGTTATAATATTATTTTCAATTCAATTTTTTAATTATTATTATTTTAAATGATTGTCCCCGGATCAGTAGGGTACTCTTGTAATAGAGTAGCAGTGGCTGGGATAGATTTTAAATATAATTTCCACTTAAAAAAGATGCAATCTAATCCTGTTTACATGAAATAAGCCGCTCCCGAGCAGGTTTAAGTTTAAGGGCCTGTGAGCAGGTTTAAGTTTAAGGGCCTGTTGCCATGACAGCAAGTCCAGGATGAGCTTCGAAGAACCAAACTATCCAAGATCAAGCCAAATCATCAACAATCAAATCCAGCTAACTGAGTTAGCGACGTACGAAGAACGGGCCCCAGGGGTAGAAATGCGGTTAGTTAAACTACTCGCACCGAGCCTCTACAAACTTGTTTCACAATGATGCCTCTGGGGAAATCCTCAGTGCAGATTTCTGACCTGTTCATGCACAGAAATGTCGAAAATCCTCTTTTTAACAGTCAAACACGACTTATATTCGCAAAGTGGGAAATGATCGAGTATCATCGCCACAGGGTATGTCAGCCGATGATTTATGAACCAATATTTGCAGTTTGCTTTTATAAATATTCATAAGAACTGAACAGAGCTTCAAAAGTTAACACTATAAAACCAAGCGATATATCGCCATTACACATATAGCGCCAAAGTTTACTCAAGACACTTGAGAATGTTTGAACGTTATTGTTTTTGATAAAAGAGTATAAAATAGGTATTTATTTAAAGAAAATTGGCACCATTTCACAAGTGTTCAGTGTTTAAAAACTCTAGCATCGTTTTTCTTTTTTTCTGAGGATGCCACGTGCAACATCACAACGGCTTGTTTGGGTTAATAAACGTGTAAGTTGTGTGGAAATCAGTTCCTTTACCTTTCACACAACGTGCTGAGATCTTAACAAGCCCTCTTTATGTAACACGTGCTGTTTTTGACTCACGAGGCACTTCAGTCTTCTTTCTTGGGGAGTCTGCCATCATCCGGTCATCTACTGACATTACCGCAGGTGCTTATGGGTAAGAAGACCATTACAAGCTTACTAAGACACCGCAGTTATCTTATGTTTCATCTTATTACTCAGAGCAAAAAAATTAATAAATAAACTAAAGAAAAGTGCTAGCATAATGCTAATATCAGCGCCGATATCCTTCCGTGCTTCCATCAACAGAAGCATTAGCGCCATCTGTCAGGATGTATACAGTAGTGAGTACACCCCTCACTTTTCAGCAACCATTTTAGTATATCTTCTCAAGGGACAGTACTATATAAATTAAACTTGGATATATTTTAGAGTAGTCAATGTGCTGCTTGTATAGCAGTACAGATTTACTGTCCTCTGAAAATAACTCAACATACAGCCATTATTGTCAAAATAGCTGGCAACAAAAGCGAGTGGTGCACTAAGTGATAACAGCTGTATGTTGTTTAACCATGCAAAGCCACGTCCTATTCATCACGTTCATGTTTTTGTCTGCTTGACAGGACCATACAAATTTGTGTATCTTGCATTAGAGCTCATGGCAAAGAACTCTCTGAGGATTTGATCTCCACTAACCCTGTTGAAAAAAACAGCATATGCCTGGTTAGGTATGTTTTGACGCTGGGATGCTGGTTTAAGCTGGTCCTTTGCTGGTTTATGCTGGTCCTTTTTTTGGCTCAAATGGTGTCCAGCATGTGTGGCGACGCCCTGGTGAGGAGTACCAAGGAAATTGTGTCTTGCCTACAGTCAAGCATGGTGGTGGTAGCATCATCTGGGGCTGCACGAGTGCTGCTGGTACTGGGGAGCTGCGGTTCATTGAGGGAAACATGGATTCCAGCATGTATGTGACATACTGAAGCAGAACATGATGCATATGTGCAGTTTTCCAACATGATAACGACCCCAAACACACCGCCAAGATGACAACTGCCTTGCTGAGAAAGCTGAAGGAGTTTGCCTACAGTCAAGCATGGTGGTGGTAGCATCATCTGGGGCTGCACGAGTGCTGCTGGTACTGGGGAGCTGCAGTTCATTGAGGGAAACATGGATTCCATTATGTACTGTACATTGTGAAGCAGAACATGATGCCTTCCCTCCAGAAACTGGTCAGAATGGCAGTTTTCCAACATGATAACACCACCAAGATGACAACTGCCTTGCTGAGGAAGCTGAAGGTGATGGAGTGGCCAAGTATGTCTCCAGACCTGAACCCTATTGAGCACCTGTGGGGCATCCTCAAGCGGAAGGTGGAGAAGCGCCATGTGTCTAACATCCAGCAGCTCCGTGATGACATTATGGAGGAGTGGAAGAGGATCCCAGCACCAACCTGTGCAGCTCTGGTGAACTCCATGCCCAGGAGGATTAATGCAGTGCTAGATAACAATGGTGCTCACACAAAATATTGACACTTTGGACATTCACTTAGGGGTGTACTCACTTTTGTTGCCAGTTATTTAGACAATAATGGCTGGATGTGGAGTTATTTTTAGAGGACAGTAAATCTGTACTGCTATACAAGCTGCACATTGACTACTCTAAAGTACATCCAATTTTCATTTCTATAGTATTGTCTCCTGACAACATAAAATGGTTGCTGAAATGTGAGGGGCGTACTCACTTTTGTGAGGTACTGTATATATAATTTAGCTAAATAAAAATTTAATTCTGAAGCTCGCTTTTGTCATTCACAATCGACATTGAATATCCTATATCCATAAATTAGCCTACAATTTAATCAGCTACTGTAAACCCATATTAACTAGCAAACATTAACTTATTTAAGATTTATCTAGGTGACGCCATCGGTCAATATCAGGGTCCACGATGAAGAAATAGAAATCATTTTAACATCACACAAAAAAAAAAGTGCGGAGCTCTTACAAATTGTACTGTGGTTTCATTACATTTTTAGCCACTTTGAATTTATTTACTTAATTTGATGAATACATTTCATGTGGTGTAAACAAGTAAAAAGTAGTATTTTCTTGTTTAATAAAGTTTGTACTTTTTTTTTTTTTTTAGACTTGGTTTTAGTTTAGACTTTTGGGGAAGTCACAATCTAACAATTTAAAATGAGAAATCAGTACAACTGGGAATTATTCAACTAAAACAGCTGAAAGAATAAAACGACCACAAATTAGCAAATAGTGATATAATTTGTAATTTCCCCCACAATATCCATTTCATCTTCTACATCACATGTGGAGCTCCAGCAAACTGCTTTTCCAAACGAGTAACGCCAAACAATTTTAGACACCGCTGCTCTGGTTACTGCTGTGATAGACAAATTGACAAGTTACTTTCATGGATTCCTTCCAGTTAATTAGTAAAAGATTCTACTCAATTTAGGAAAAGCGATTAAACATCTAAAAAGGAGTTTAGATGTTTAATCGTAACAAGTTTCTGTAGGACTGCAAAAACACATTAAGGAAATATGACACATTCAAAATCACAACAAGCCAAAGAGTTTAAAAACCAATTTTAATCAAAATGGTTCTTTACATCATGAAAAATCTGAACTGGGAAAAACAAACAACAAAAAAAAAAAAAAGGGTGCAAAACCCTCAAGTCACAAGCCAAATTTAGTTCATAAATTTGACATTAGCCTTACAACACACTTGTTATCCATCTTAATCCCATTCAAATATTTCAACCAGATTTACATCTCTAAATAGGCATCAATTCCATGTATATGTTACAATATGCTTTGCACATTAAAAAGGTACACTGCACATTAAACTTTCACCTAAAGCCAACTTAAAAAGAAAAAAGGATTTAAATAAAATTGATGGGGGGGGTGCACACCATAAAAGAAAAAAAGAAAAACTGTTGCATGTACATGTACCTAAACCAGCAGAGCATAATTACAACAGTCACATTTAAATTTTCACGCGGATGGTTGGGACGTTTCAGAACTCACACAGTTAAAAGGGAGCGAGGGGTCGGGGGTCACTGTACAGTTACTGATGCTTTCTGGAATGTCCTAGAAATGCTCTGACAATGTGGATTTAAGCAAATGGAAACAGTTCAGTTACAGACTTAATCATCAAACTTGATCTTCTTCCCTTGTGGTCGGTCTCCAAATCCACCTCGTCCACCTGAAGAGAGAACTTTTTTTAAATTCATACAGCTCCATTAAAACCTAAAAGGTTAAAATGTTCAAAATAGCATACTGCCATATTAGTAATGACTAGCATTTTCTTATTCACTAACAGACTGGAAAGCCTCCCCAAAAAGTAGTAGGAAAAAATAAATAAATATTAATAGATCTAATTAGAATAGACTTAGACAAACTACATATAATTTTATTTACACTTATCTGATTAAATGGCTTGAATCTAATTTTATTCAAGTGTAACATTTAAATATTTTGTTCATCCAAGTAATACTACAGGTATATCAATTTAAAATAGATTTAGACGATCTATATAGACTTAGATAAATGTTAATAAACTGATTTAAAAAAAAAAAACTAATTTAGATTTAATTAGATGGCAAAGCTTTACGTTTATAGAAAACAAAAGTTCAAGTAGCCATACAGTAATAATAAATTACATTGACTTAGTTAAAATATTAGATTTAACTATAAAAACTATAGATTGAGAAATTAAGCAGATTTAGACAAAGCAAATTAGATTTAACTAGATGACAAAAATACTTAAATAGATTTTATTTATAGAAATAGAATTGTATTTTGTATGTCCAATTGAATCTCATTTTATTTAGATTTAATTAGGCTTCTCAAATTCCTACATAGATTTAGTTGTCAATAAAATTAGATTTAATTAGGTGACAAATCTGAATAGACAATAAAATTTACAAAAATATTTAGATTCAAGTAGATGTACAATAAATAAATTTCTACCATTACTATTAATACAACTAAATTAAATAAAAATAAGTGCAGTATTGTGCGCTAGTATTCGATCATGTACTTGGTCTATAAACGCATCACTAGATTGATTGACACCCACCGCCTCTTCCTCCTCTGAAGCCGCCGCCTCTTCCTCCTCGTCCTCCCCTGAAGCCGCCGCCCCTGCCGCCCCCTCGGCCTCCGAAACCGCCTCGTCCACCGCCGCGTCCTCCAAAACCTCCTCCGAAGCCTCCCCCGAAGCCTCCTCTGCCGCCCCCTCGGCCACCCTCGCCCTTGGGCTTCGCGTAGTCCAGAGTGACTCTGTTTCCGTCGATCTCTCCGTCATCCATGGCTTCTTTGGCCGCCTTGCAGTCTTCTTCGCTATCGAAGTCTACGAAACCAAACCTGAAGGAAGAGACGCAGTATTAAGCAAACATTCAGAGGGAAAAAAGCAGCAGCAGTTACTGGATCAATCGGCTTGAATGTCTAGCATCAGACATGGGTGTGTCCCAATATAGTGGAAACACCTGTTTAACTGTGAATTTCGCTCTACTTCTCGTGGGAATCCATACACCGCCACTGGATTGACAGAGAGGAACTCATGAGAAGCAAGAAACGCGTTATGTATCAAACACGGCTGTACCCTTTAGATGATCCGGTGTCTCTGTCTGTGACGATTCTGGCGCTGACGGATCCATCAAAAGCCTCTTTCAGAGACTGATCTGTGGTATCTTCTGACAGGCCTTTGACAAAAAGGGTTTTTGTAGGTCCTACAAACAGAGTGGAAAGCAGTTAGCAACTAGCATTCGTTTAAAAAAAACAAAAAAAACAAGTGGGATTTGATTGATTGAGCGCTCTACCAACCAGAGCCTCCTCTTCCGCCTCGGTCTCTGTCATTCTGACTGAACTCTAATCTGATATTTCTGCCCTCGATTTCTGTGTTGTTGCAGTTCTCCAGCGCCTCCTTGGCATCCTCCACGTTCTCAAACTCTAAAAACGCGTATCTACGGAAAAAACAATTCCATTACAATGCAAAAGAAAACTGACCAACCAATAAGATGCACGCTTTTTGGTTGCCGCAGTTGCATAAAATAGCACCTAAGTGGTGCTCAAGAACATACTATTTAGCCAAGTGATAGAGAATAGCAGAACATTATTCAGTGTCAAATTTAAAATCGAGGAACACTTTAGTTTCTTTTGGAACGAGTTTGATTACACAAGCACCACCTACTGGCAGAGAGTGATTTTGCATCTTCATTCAGCCCGTCAAATGCTATTCCTTAAATATCGGTCAGAATAAAAATCATTCAAAAAAAAAAAAAAAGTAAACAAATGTCTTTAGACAAACGGTTGTCAAGTTTACATGATTCTATAACTTCCTGGAATCTGACCATTAGATTTAATTAGAATCAATTCTAAATGATTTTGCAAGTTCATGCAAACAACTGGAATTATTCTAAATTGACCAACAACTTAAGCGATTGTGTGATTTAGTCGCAAATTCAAAGCACTTTGCCTTCTTCATACACACCCACAAAAAAAAATTAGATTTCTTATTTTTAGTGATTTTATAATTTTATAATTTAAAAAAATAAAAGCATAAATGACTACTAAGCCTATAAGTGCTCCTCTACTGCCATCTACAGGTTATAATGGTGATTTGATGTATTTTTTTTACATTTTACACAAGTGTTTGTTCACCACAGTATATTTTGGTCATCCCATTAAAAACAACATTCAAATTGGATCATTTTGGAGCTTTAAAGTGCTGGAAACAGTTGTGTGAAATGCTTGCAAGTCATTGAAAATTGCTTGAATTTCTCTCTCAAAAGGCTGTACAAACCCTGAAATGAATAATGTAATAACATTTGAACAAATGTCTTTAGACAAACGGTTGTCAAGTTTACATGATTCTATAACTTCCTGGAATCTGACCATTAGATTTAATTAGAATCAATTCTAAATGATTTTGCAAGTTCATGCAAACAACTGGAATTATTCTAAATGAATCCATAACATCATGGAACCTGACAATTTGAATCAATTCTAAACTAATTAAACCATTTGAGTCAACAAATATTCTTACTGGTGTTCATTTAGTGAACAAATTGAAAAGAAAACTAAAGTTCAGTTTTGTTTTTTTACAATAAACATTTTAAATCTTCTTGATTCAACAACAGGCATTTAGGACAAATGCTTCAACAAGTGTTGTTACAAAATTATTTTATTAGCAACAGTAACGTGCCAAATCTAATTTTTATGTAGAAAAAAAAAATAAATAAAAAAAAATTCTCTCTCTTTATTTATTCCTTCTCTTTCTAGCTTGTACTTATTTGAACAATGTCTAAGAACTTAGTATTACAACCACTTCCTGTGTCTGTTTGCCTCTTTAAGAAGAATCGCTTTATGTATCCCCCAATTGTAAGTCCTTTAAAGTGCTGGAAACAGTTGTGTGAAATGCTTGCAAGTCATTGAAAATTGCTTGAATTTCTCTCTCAAAATGCTGTACAAACCCGGAAACGAATAATGTAATAACATTCGACTCTTTCTGCCACAACAACATGGTTACAGTTAGCGTTACCGCTTCTGGTTTTCTGCATCAGCGCTGTTTGATCCGTTTATAACGGAATTCTGTGCAGAATTTGAAAGCTTCTCAGTAGATCTCACAGAAACCTTTATTCACTCTGCGGCGAATTAAAAGCTTCTCAATGGATCGCGCGGCTCAAACAAGTAGCGGGATTTTATGCTTTCGTTTAATGTTTTTTTTTTTTTTTTTATTTACTCGCCCCAGAAGAAAAAAAGCT